TTGCTTTAGTTTTATTCTGTTTATTCTACGATGAACAGTAGTCCTTGGCTAGCCCCATAAAACAGAAGTGTCTGACAAGCTCTACTGGTTTGTACTTATCTAACAGAAAAAAGTACCAAATAGGACTTGAAACTATGAAGACAACAATAAACAGAATAAAGATCATTTGATTATTCTCTTTATTTGTGGTAAAGTGAAACTGTAGGGGTGGGGGGTGGGGGGTTGGTTAACTTCGTCGATTATTGTACTAGTTTGTCTTTTTGATAAGCAAGTGCATGGAGTTTTTAAAAAGTCTATTACACTGGAAGATATGTTTGGCAACTTCAAGAAGGGATGGGGAGGGGGGCGACAATTACTTTTGTATTTTCGTAGGCTCAGTGCAGTTTTAGGTGTCTTTAGCAAATAGATCTTTTTAGTAATCATGGCAACACTATTTGTCAAAATCAAAAACCGATGAAGAGAATTATGTATATTAGTGTAGTTTACTTGTGTATAAAGTTTGCTTGAAGTCAGTTTGAAACGGTAGTCACAGAAAAACTTGGAAACAAAGACATTTTTAGTAACGAGGGCAAAACTTTTCGTCTAAATGAAACATCGATGAATAGAATAATGTATCTAAGAAAAGTCTACCTGTGTATTAGGTTTTATTGAAATCAGAGTGTAACTATCGGAGGAGAAGCCTCATAGAGATATGTACTTTTAGAAGCCATGGCATCATCGTTTGTTTAATTCAAAAATTGAGAAATAAAATTATTCAATTTAGTCTAGTCTTGTTGTGTACCAATTTTTATTGAAGTGAATGAAAACTGTAGGAAGATTGTATTGAAATTTCATTTTTAATAACCATGGCAACATCACTATCTTTAAAAACCGATAAAGGGAATTATACATATCTTAGTGTTGTCTACTAATGAGTACAATGTTTAATTGAAATCGGTCTGAAACTGTAGAAGAAATAGCGTTTTGAAAGAGTTTGATATCGTTCGTCAAAATATGAAACCGATAAACAGCATTATGTGTCTTAGTTTTTTTTTTTTTTTTTTTTTTTTTTTTTTTTTTTTTTTTTTTTTTTTGTACACATTTTTATTGAAATTGGACAAAAACTATGGGAGTAGTGAAAAAAAATTTGAAGACAAATAGACGAACAGCTAAACAGACAAAGAGACGAGCGTTGGGCACTTTCCCATCTCATAAGCTCTTCTGTACCTTGAAATATAGAGCTGAAAAGCGAGTGTTGAAGCTACATACTAGGTAATTCAAGAAAATACTGAAGGAATGTCTATCCAGTTTGATGGTTATTTAAGCCTAATTACTTGACCAATTTTCTTGCACAAATTGTAAAATCGTAAATATGCGTCTCATCTCCTGAGAAACAGACATGTCTCTACAGGAAGCTTAGGGCTGCACAAGGAGGTCGATAAAATTGATTTAACGACATAAAACTTGATTTAATGCAAAGGAGGCAATATCAGAAAATTAGTTTGGTCTTCGCAAATATTCCAATTAAAAACGGAGACAAGCCTATGGACATCCAATGATATTGATGGGAAATCTATAATAAATCATTTAAGCAGATCTTTACTCATGTTCAAGCATGATTTTGCCACTTTCAGATGTATCACTCACTATGTTGAGAAGAGAATCCAGGTATATGCAATAATTCTACGCTCACACAAAGCAAATACTAAAAGCCTGATAAATACATATCATCTTCCTGTATATCTTTTGTTCTTACCGGAAAATTATTTCCATTTTTGGGGGTCCAGATTTCACGCTTTCGAATCATCTTTTTTGATGTTGTGTAAACATTGGTTCATGGCTGACCAAATCTTATTTCTAAATCAATTGATTAAAGCTGTCAAATATTTAATTTTTAATCAGATATTTTAGGGTTAGAGAAGAAATTATAATAGTAAAGTAAATGATACCTGAAGTGGAAATTTGCACTGAAAGTTCAAGAATGGGCCATGTACAAGTTGTAATGTATAATCAAGATTAATGTCAAAAAGTTATGATACTTTTTTCATTCACAAAGTTTGACAACATATAATGTCATGAAAATTAAACAATTAAGAAAGTGTCTATCTTATTCATCATATTTCCTATTGTTTAAACATATTCTGAGGTAATTTACGAGACTTGCTTCAAGAGTGGTTATCTGTTGGAGCAGCAACCTATCATTACCAAAACTACAACATCGATGTTTACCACTGCAAAGGTGAATGGTCTGTCAAACTCCGATAAAGTACTAACTATCAGCAGTACTATAAAACATTATTTACCATTCCTGAAGGTTTTTACAGTAATGTACTGTCGTGACTCAAAGGAGTTTAAATTGTGTTGCAAAGGTTAAAAGTCTATGATCCCATCAGCAGATTGTATGTTGCTGCAAAACTTCTGGCTGTCACGAATTAAAGGACTGAAAATGATTGAAAGATTCCGAAAAAGGAAATAAAGCCCCTTCCTATTATATTGCAACAGCTGCTGTAAATAGACTATTCGTCCAAACACAATGCATTAAATCATACGTCGAGTATTTTCCATGCCCTTTAATATTCATCCGATAATAAAAACGATTAATGTTCATTATAGGGTCTATCTAAATAATTTAATACACACTAAATTGTTAGACTATATAGAGTCAGGCTTTTAAAAGATTACGATTTCCATCACAAAAATTATTTCATTATATTTACAAATATTTTAAAGACTTTGCAGAATAAATGAGTTTAAATCGCCATAGATTATTCCATCATTACATGAATCCAAGCTAATTGTTTAAGAATGCATATTTCAGATTTTCTTTTTTGTTGTCTGAGAGCAAATAGATGCAGAAGGTATGAATTACATAATGTACTTTTTTAACTACAATTTTATCGAAATAAAGCAGGAGTTAATGAGCGATATTTAACCTGCAGCTAAAAAAGGAATCCCGTGTTTCACGAAAAAGCAACACCATCCTTACCAGCGATTGATTTTCTTCAAAACATTGAAATTTTGTCGATTTATAGTCAAGAATTAATCACTTGTCTTCCGGGCATTTTGAAAGCTTTCGAGATAAACAATAGAGACCAACTTCCGTGAGCTGACTGAAGCTTTTTTATGAATCCACAGCGGATTAGATCATGATTCCAGTATCAATTTATTGCTTCTTTATTTCATATTATGACATTCAAAGTACGTGTTAGTATATGTAAATTATTCATTGAGGAATTATATCTAGTTTTCTTTCCTTTTATATTCGGAGGATGTTGAAGTCGTAAGATTAAGCACAATATGTAACACAATGATCTTCATAAACACACTTCCAAAACGTTATTTTTAAAAAATATTTTCATAGACTTTCCAAGGAAATTAGACAAGAAACCCATGGGCCACAACGCTCACCTGAGTAACTATGGCCTTGAGTATTTTCACCTGATCCCCCCCCCCACCCCCACCCCCTTGTAGTACTTATTGTGTCCCTGCCCTACCCCCAGGGGTCATTATTTAAACAGTTAGAATCTACACTACCCCAGGATACTCTCACATAAGTTTCAGACTTTCTGGCCCAGTGGTTCTTTAGAAGAAGATTTTTAAAATATTTTCTGCATATTTCAATGTAAAACTTGAATTCCCTATTGTGGCCCTGCCCTACCCCCGGGGATCATGATTTGAATAATTTAGAATCTACACTACCCCAGAGTGATTCCACATAAGTTTCAGCTTTAATGGCCCAGTGGTTCTTGAGAAGAAGATTTTTACTACATATTTCAATGTAAAACTTGGATTCCCTATTGTGGCCCCGCCCTACAACGGGGGTCATGATTTGTACAATTTAGAATCTACACTACCCCAGGATGCTTCCACATAAGTTTCAGCCCTTCTGGCCCAGTGGTTCTTGAGAAGAAGATTTTTAAAGATTTTTACTACATAATTCAATGTAAAACTTGGATTCCCTATTGTGGCCCCGCCCTACCCCTGGGGGTCATGATTTGAACAATGTAGAATCTACACTACCCCAGGATGCTTCCACATGAGTTTCAGCTTTTCTGGCCCAGTGGTTCTTGAGAAGAAGATTTTTTGATGACCCCACCCAATTTTTGTCTTTTCGTGATTATCTCCCTTTTGAAGAGGATTTGGCCCTTCATTTTAAAACTTTAAACTCCTCTTTACCCAAGGATGCTTTGTACCATGTTTGGTTAAAATTGGCTAATTGGTTCTTGAGAAGAAGTTGAAAATGTGAAAAGTTTGCAGACAGACGGACGGACGGACAACGGGTGATCAGAAAAGCTCACATGAGCTTTCAGCTCAGGTGAGCTAAAAAATAAAACGGAGAAAATTTTTACCCGTATTTGTCTTTTGAGATATACACTATCTAGAGAAGGATTTTTATATATATGTACTTTACTTTTTCTGTTTCTGAAATAAAGATGAACGCGGATATCTAATTAATATCATTATTATTATTACTATTATTTTACAAATGTCTAAATATATCTTAATTAAAAATTCATTAAAACATGGACACGTCAATATCTATATATCGATACTTATCAGTCATTGTACGATATCTACAAATATTTCCAAATCAAGAATTTCAAAAATACAAGATGTCTTTCTGATTTATAAATACGTATTACGAGAAACAATGATAAATTTTTATTCTGACGGAAAAGGTGCAATTTAAATGTATTAATATTTTTAGAGAAAGGAATTATATTTTACTTATTTGAAGAAAAAAAATCCTGTAGAGAATATATTACTTTGTTCCGTCCTGTTGTTATTTGAGGTCTTTTATTTTCAAAGCATTAACTGACAGAGTTGTAAGGGGAAAAAAGAACATAACCACCAATAAATAATCACAACAGACACAAACAATACAACACAATCAAAGATGGGTGTCAATAATAGTAGTTTAATAACTTAAACAAATCACAAGTAAAGAAAAATTATTGTTTTAAAATTCTTCATGTGCCAAAATGAAGGTGTTTCATTTTGAAAAATAAAGGGGTACCTACCTTGAACAGCAGAGGACGTCAACGAAAACCACTTGGCGAAAACTTTGGCACTCTGTCCCATCATTTCAAAAAAAGCAACATGTACAAGGACTTCCGTTAACGTGCAGCATGAAGAGATCCCAAAAGCTGCTTGTCCTGGTCACCACAGTCCCAGGACCGTATCGTGTTTTTGTCGGCCACGGGAGACAGCAGATGTTATAGGCCGCTTTTGCTACAGATTTCTCACTTTATCTATTGATATACAGAACAATCTGCAGTCGCGGGATACTACTCACGTGATTGACATTGATCAGCGCCTCTCTATATTATGAAATCAATACAATCTGAAAATTTAATACGCTCTCCTCATTCTACTCAAAATATTGTATTTGTCATCGCTTTGATGTCAGATGAATTGACTTCTTAAATATATTAAACAAGTTAATGCTTTGTATTCAAGACGATAATTGCCCTCTATTAAATCTCGTCTTTCTTTGTAATGCTACATGTAGGCCTAATTGAATTTTTCATGTTTTGAAATTCCTGAAGAAAAATATGCTGAATCTTACTCTGCAAATACACATGCGCACACAAACACAGAAATACACACTACCGCTGGCTTGTGTTAGAGGTTAGAGCAAAGGTTTCGCTTCTTCTAGAGTAGAGGGGTAAAGAGTTGGTCTTTATATTAAGGGTTCGAATCCAACTGTGGGACAGGGAGACTGGTCCTTTGGATGAGATCGTACAAACCGAGTTTCTGTGTTGGTATGTGGCCATAAGTGCCAAGGACAGGTCTAAAGGTAGACATAGGAAAGATAAACATAAATCTAAAAGAAAGTAAATAAATCAGTGAAATACTAAAACAAGAATTTGAAGATACACTATCTTTGTTTGTTTTTTTTATATACTAGTAATCCAGAAAAGAAAGTGAATTTATTCGGAAGGAACATTTGAACATCTCTTCCATAAAAACAATACACAACTGCTTCAATTAATATTCATTTCATTTAAACACCTGAATAAGAGATATAGAATATAGAATTTGCAAAGTTTTGACTTTAAACAGGACAGTTGATATCTTTGTATTATCCACTTGTTTGTCAATAGCTTGTTTTGTAGTAGAAATTGTTCGTACGTTAAGCATGTTCTTCAGTCTCAAATCAATTCGGAGAGATAAACTCCATATGCAGATGATATTTATATATTGCTACTTAAATAAGGGAAGGTGATGATATATAATTGAAGTCATCACGTTTATCATGAAGGTTTTCTTTGTTTGTTTGTTTGTTTTTGATTAACTTACAAATTATTGAGCAAAGCTAGATTAGACATTCACACATGGAAACATTTTTTTTTTAGTCATGAAAGTCAATGTTCAGCTGAATAACGGTCTTAAATAATAGCCTTTTAGTTCTCCTGGAATAACATGATATCACAATTGGATTATAAGCCAATGAACTGACGGTCCACGATTTCGAGGAGTGAAAAAAAATGATCGTAATAGTTAATAAATAAGGCATGGTTTCCTTGTAATAATATCTAGAGGCTCTGCAGGAAATATTAATGCTGGGCAAATGAATGTTTCATTTTATTTTTGAAATAGATTTAATATCTCTTAGAAATGATATTCATGTTACAGATGCTGTCATAACCTAATAAAGCATTCCACCTGTGGTGTTAATTGACTAGCACCAAGAAAAAGTAAGAATTTTCGACAGCCAAGCACGCAATAACTTGACTCTTTTTTTCAAGGAGTTTATCTCCCTATATTAATTCCAGACTAGTTTTGTTAGAGGCTTGTACTAACTCTTTCAAATAAAAAAAAAGTAATTACATGCCAGCTATGAATTTCGATTACGTCAAAAAGTACAGGGCTGGGATTCATAGACATGCTTAAGATTTGTGCTTAGAATAACACTTAAATGGAAAATAGATTCTTATTTAAGAAAAAATCTCTTGTCCTATTCATATAAGTTCGAAGTGTACAGCTGTATCATCATCATTGAATATTTAAATCTTACTAGTTGTTAAATATCTCCAAAAAAGTGTTTCGGGGTAGATGTTATTATAATAGCATGTTTCTTAATAAACCCGCTGTAATGTTCAACAAAATTTAAACAATATTAATCAGGAGCAGAGCAAACACGGACCTCTTAAACATTAGATGATTGATTGATTATTATTGTTTTACGTCGAGTAGGCAATATATCAGGCATATGTCGGCGATTAAAACATCAGAAGTGGGAGTGCCATGGAGGAGTGAGCATCCCCTTCCAACCGGTCAAACCCGCTGTGTACTCCTTGTCATGATCGGGAAAAACGGAAAAATCCGTAGACAAATCACTGTCTTTCAACCTATCATAAAATTAATCTCTACAATGTAAATTCAGCAGTAAAATCAAAATTACATGTCCAGTTTTAAATAAACTCGGTTCTCTACAAAAAAGTTCAAATATTTACCTTGTTGCCTGTTATTAACCGGTTCTTTTCCCGTTTTACAGAACCATGCTCATATTTGCAACATTATAAATTATCATCTTTTATTTCAAGCTATCTGGGATATGTCGTGTCGGCATATGAATGGAAGTAACTGTTGTTAATTGATAATACTACCACTTATACTAGCCTGGTCTCGGATAAGTGAGTTTATTTCAGTAACCCTAATAATATTTATCTATTCCGGATAAGTTACGTACATTCGGATAAATATAAAGGAGATGGGTGAACATGACGAGCGATAAGCCTATAGTGTGACAAACATGAAGATGAAAAATTAAATTTCAATTATATCAAAATTTTCCTTGCTCTCGTGTAACATTAAATTATACTTTATGTAAAACCTCTATAATTTGCAAAAATCCCTCAAAGATTGAAATTATTTGACTGTGAAATATTAGACACACACTAAAGCGGGCAAAAAGAGTCATTTTCTCATACTATAACACTATTTTTCGATATGAGTGGGTCTTCGCCCCACCTTTTTGAAAGTTAATCCTCAAAGTTTGCATAAAAATATACATTTTTTGGTTACCAAAAATATGGAGCAATGACCCACTATACCTTAAACATATACTTTTATACCATAACATTCGCATCTTTTCGAGAAATACTTGAAGTCCATTAAGTCAAGGGTCATATCACAAACATGATTTAAATGCCACTATTCATCAGGACTTGTGTAGTCTAGTGGTTAGCGTGCTAGTCTCGAAAGAAAATAATACTCAGGATTTTTATTGCTAGGGTTCGAACCCACGAATACTACATTAATTTTTTTAATAAAAGAATAAATTTTGCCGAGAAAATTTTCCCCAGAAAAGTTTTGTTTATCATAATTTCATAAATTTCAATAATGAGAACTTTAATTTAAATACTAAATTCACAAACTGAACATGATTTTTATATATCTGAAGCTATAGGCTTTCTGCACGCTATGTTCGCCCTTCTCCTTTCCACCCTTAGTCACAAGCTATCATTCCGGATAATTTAGGTCCATTCGTATATATTCTAATAATAAGTTCTCTTCTACCTCCTTTCTCGAAGAATCGATTAAACGGTAAGGTCATGGAAAATTTTTGGGAGTTAAATTGTGGCAATGTTTTAAATTTTACCCACCCACCCTCCTCTTGTTTTTAGAACAAATACTGCTGCTTTTTGTAATGTCATTGTAGCTGGAGACTGCCTGCTTCGTCCAGCTTCCACAACAGCCTATGTCGCGGTGGTGGATTATGTGTGTTCGCATATTCCTTAAGGACAGCTTGCTTGGTCCAGCACCTAAATCAGCCTATGTGACGATGGTGAATTTTGTGTGTTTGCATATTCCGTAAATACAACCTGATTGATCCAGCGTCCACATCAGCCTATGTGAAGGTGGTAAATTCTGTGTGTTTGCGTATTCCGTGACGACTGCCTGCTGGGTACAGCGTCCACTTCAACCGATGTCGCGGTGGTAATTCTGTGTGTTTGCGTATTCCATCGCACCTCAACGCAACTGGAGGAGTGCAACACATATTCTTACGCTCATTTCATTGTTTATCCTATTGCACATCATGTAAATTGAAATTCAGGATTTGAATTTGTGCATTGGCTTGTAATTGACAAGCAGTTGACTTGATTGATATTGAATTGATTGATTGATTGAATTTGATTGACTGATTGATTGAAATTGATTGATAATTGAATTGTTGACGTTCATGCACTTGTGACCTACCAAGTGCATGATCTGCCCGATTTGGGTCGTCACATTTGTTGTATTGTTGATTGTTGGGCAGCCCTGTGGTAGCCCCTGCAAATTGATCACCGCGGCCAGAAGCGCCAAATTAAACAAGCAAAATAATATCTGTTGTTTGTTTGATTAATAGGGAATCTGCAATAAATCGTCGATATATCAAATTCTCGAGTTGAAGGCCACAGTAATCGTTTTCTTCTTATCGTGTAGAAGTTTTTGAATAAACTCTGTTTCATATGAATACAAAAATAGGTTTGCTAATGATAATTCCGGTATCTTGAATCTTATCCATATACTCAGTGATTATAGAGCTACTTATATATATATATATTCATCAGAACAGCAGCGTTAATATGGCATACAAACGCAAAAAAAGGGACTGCAAGGATACAGAATTCAAACTCCCAAATAAACTCATCCTACAAAGTGACTGGGATAGAATTTTTGGTGAATCATAGAAACTGCTACAAAAAAATTCAAAGAAAAGTTTTAATCTATCATTCACCAATGGATACCAGAAAAAAAAAAACTATAAGGCCAAAAGATAAACCATAGATGGATTCTCTTCTTAAAAAAAAACTTGCATATTCGCAATAGGCTAAGGGAAAAAAGCACAAAAAACTAAAAGAGAATCTGATTGGACTTTTTTCGCAAAATAAGGAACAAGGATAATACATGTACAATGCAATATGAATGAACATGCCATCACTAATTACCATGATGATATTGATTCTCATCTAAAGGATGCTAGCAAGAATAATCAAAAACTATTCTGGAAATTATTGAGAGACTTTTTTCACACTGATCCGACTAGTGAAATTTCACCTATTCAGTATACATGGCCGTAGGAACCTGGGGGGGGGGGGGCACGGGGGGGTGCCCCTCCAATAATTTTGTCGATATATAGATTACTATAGAAAACATAGCTATTATATGCTTGTGCCCCCTCAATAGAAACGTCTGATGCTT